AACATATTAATAATATAAGAAGAGAGAAGTTTGCTTATGTATTTTTGAATGTTTCATTAAAGTATATGGTTACGAGGAATGTGAGCAATCTTGTGCTGAAACCAGCTCATTATTCTTCCAAAGAGGAAGGTTCGGTAATTCCCGAAGCATAGGAACATCATGAAACCAGCTGTCTCATTTGGAAATGAAAACAGCTCGTTTCACACTCCAAGCAATATTTCAATTTGATTTTCTCTAGATTGAAGATCAGATCGAATTGTTCATCCATATTCATATTGCAGATCTTGCACCCATGTAACTCCATATCCTCAGATTCCTTAGACATTTTGGTGGCTGAAGGTTGTCGAGCACATTCTCATTTAAATCGATGTTCCTCGAATAATTGGTACTCCAACACAAGGTTAAATCTGTGAGCCTCCTCTTGGCACATAATTTGACACTACAAGCCTCCTTGGCATCCTTCACATTTCCAAGGTTGAGCATGAGATGGCAATTATTAGTGGCAATTATTAGAATCTGAAGTGAAGAGACTCTAAGGATTCCCGAAGCATAGGAACATCCTCAATAAATAGAATCTGAAGTGAAGATAAGCTTTCCAAGGAGGAAGGGAGAGACTCTAAGGATTTGAGATGTGAAAATAGCAGCTCAGAAAGAGAAGAGCTAACTTTCAGAACCACTGCTCCGCCTCATTTGGAAATGAAACCACCTCATCATTATCCAAAATTCTCAGCTCTTTTAAGGAGGCGATACTTCTCAATGGCTCCATTAGCAACACCGATGGATCACTTATTTCAAGAACGCTGAGCATGAGATGGCAATTATTAGTGGTCTCCACTTCTCGATATCTTCCGAGAGAGATCAGATTGGGGCACTTTGTAATTGTCAAGGATCTTAGTTCAGCAAGTCTTGCTATTTCATCAGCCAGAGGAAGAGATGTAATGTTTGGACAGTGATGGACCCATAATGTTTCAAGGGGAATAGGATTTGAATTGCTACAAAAATTCAAAGTCGTCCACCCAATGTTTTTTATGTACAATCTCTTGAGCTTAGAAGGCAAAGAGGGCGACTCTTTCAACTTCGGGCAGTCATATATAAATAGTTGAATTAAGCAAGGAAAGAAACATCCATCTTCAGCAGCTACTCCTGCCTCAAACCAATCCTCTAAGAGTAGATTTCTTTTTTTATATCATAAAATTAATGAGTTCAAATTGTAGTGAAATGAGAATAAAATTTTTAAATGAGAGCCGTTGCTTCAGCTTTCACTTTCACTTCAAGTTAGCATGTGTCTAAATAAATCAATAAATAAAATTAATGTGAAGGTTGCTAAAACTGCAAAAAAAAAAAAAAAGATTAAAGATGAATGATCATTAATATTTATTTTGTTTTTACCTCAAAAATATAAAATCAAAATTAAATAATAATTCAATAATTGTTTCATTTCGAGAAATCAATACAAAATTAAAAAGAACTACTTAAATTTAGTTGTGAATAATCCATGACATATATAACGGAATATTAAAAGAAAAATATATTTATAGATAAAGTTGAGTACATCGAGTGAAACATAAATAAAATTGAGTACATCAAATATTACAAACTGATTAATGCTGAGATTGCATTAAAAAATTCGGATATCAAACAAATAAGATAAGTACGTGCGTAAAAAGAAGTTTGCTTAGGTAGAAATATAGATTTCAGGAATGTGAGCAATTTTGTGCCGATCGGAGCCTCCATCCTCTCGATAGCGCTCCTTTAACTCTCGATGCAATTCCCCCCAAATTGCTAGACGTTCCAAAGAGGAAGGGAGGTTCGGTAATTCCCGAAGCATAGGAACGTCCCAAAGTGTTAGACTTTTCAAAGAGGGAGGAAGGTTCGGTAATTCCCGAAGCATAGGAACATCATAAATAGATAGAATCTGAAGTGAAGATAAGCTTTCCAAGAAGGAAGGGAGAGACTCTAAGGATTTGAGAGATGAAAATCGCAGCTCAGAAAGAGAAGACCTAACATTCAGAAACCACTGCTCCGCCTCATTTGGAAATGAAACCACCTCATTATTATGCTCAATTCTCAGCTCTTTTAAGGAGGTGATACTTCTCAATGGCTCCATTAGCAACACCGATGGATCACTTATCCCGAGATAGCTTAGCATGGGATGGCAATTATTAGAGGTCTCCTCTTCTCGATAACTTCCGCGAGAGATCAGATTGGGGCATTTTGTAATAGATAGTTTCTGAAGTGAAGATAAGCTTTCCAAGGAGGAAGGGAGAGACTCTAAGGATTTGAGTTGATAAAATTCCAGCTCACAAAGAGATGAACTAACATTCAGAAACCACTGCTCCGCCTCATTTGGAAATGAAACCAACTCATCATTATACATAATATACAGCCTTTTTAAGGAGGCGATACTTCTCAATGGCTCCATTAGCAACACTAATGGATCACTTATGCTAAGATAGCTGAGCATGAGATGACAATTATTACTGGTCTCCACTTCTGGATAATTTCCGAGAGATCTCAGATTAGGGGAACTAATTCTCAAGTCTCTTAGTGCTGCAAGTCTTGCTATTTCATCAGCCAGAGGAAGAGATGTAATATTTGGACAATGAAGGACCTCTAATGTCTCAAGGGGAATAGAATTTGAAATGCTACAAAAATTCAAAGTCTTCCACCCCGTATATCGTATCTGCAAGCTCTTCAGCTTAGAAGGCAAAGAGGGCAACTCTTTCAACTTCGGGCAGCTATTTATCGACAGTTGAATTAAGCAAGGAAACAAACATCCATCTTCAGCAGCTACTCCTGCCTCAAACCAATCCTCTAATGCTTCTAATTCGTGAATATTTAGCACCTCTAGCAATGGAAAGGTACGGTATTTATCATTCCCATTATATTTACTTTGGAGCCTTTTTACTTTCGGCATGTTCCAAAGTGTCAGTGACTTGAGGAAGGGAAGCTGCCCAAAAGGTGGAAGAGTTTCCCAATTACTGCAGTTTGTCAAATTGATTTTCTCTAGATTGGAGATAAGATTGACGTTGTTCATCCATATAGCAGACCTTGCACCCATGTAGCTATCCATCTTCAGATTCCTTAGACAATTTGGTGGCTCAAGGTTGTCGAGCACATTCTCAAATAAATCTATGTTCCTCGAATCAGTGTTTTCCCACCCTAACGTTAAATCTATGAGCCTCCTCTTGGCACATAATTTGGCACTACAAGCCTCCTCGGCATCCTTAACATTTTCAAGGCAATTGATTCCTAATTTGCAAAGATCATCCATGTTCTCCAGCTCCCCAATTCTATAACCACTCGCATCTCTAAGATCAAATATTTTCACTTTTTGAAGAAACTTTAGCTTCCTAATCCCACATATTGATGAAATACAATTCTCGGGCAATTTTACGTAACGCAAGTTAGAAAGATTATTAATGTCACTTGGTAAAAAATCAGCACCTTTCTCAGGCCCATCATAGATTATGTACTGCAAGTGATAGAGATTACTTACAGATCTTGGCAGCATAGTCAAATTATAACAATCAATCTCTAAGTATCGAAGATGTATCAAATTTCCAATCTCCTCAGGTATTATTTTCAAGTCTTCTGGAGACTCTATATTTAATAAGCGTAAACTTCTCAATTTGAATATTTCACTAAGTGCACAGATATCCTGATTAGAAGGTTCATAGAACAAGAAAAGAGAATGCAAATATTTAAACTGCACAATCTTTTTTATGATGTCTGGATTTTCAGCTTGAACAGACAAGTGTCGAAGAGTCTTAGGAATTGGAGAAGGCAACTTTGTACCATCCTCAACTCTTAAGCATTCATGTATGGAAAGAGATTGTGCTAATTCATGCATTAAATCATGCATCTTGTAGTAATAATCTTTAAACTTGTCAAAGAAATTTCTTTTAACCAAAACATCAAAATACCTTCCTCCGATATCCTCCAGAATCTCTCCTTGAATATGAGAAGGTTGAATGAAACCCAATGCAATCCACTGTCGGACTAAAGCATCTCTATCAAATTCATAATCTTGTGGGAATATGGAACATAATGTAAAGCAAATTTTTAGATGTTGTGGGAGGTATACATAGCTCAATCTTAAGACGGGCATGATATCATTTTGACCCAATCTTATAATTTCAAGTCCAGAATTTAAAACTCTTCTCCAATGCCCTTCATCCAAATTAGAATTCAGAATACCACCTATGACCTTTGCTGCTAAAGGAGACCCTGAAAGCTTTTTAACTATCTCTGCAGTAATTAATTTTAATTTTAATTTTCTCTGATCATCAAGATAGTCTACAGCAAATGCATGGGTGTTGAGGAGCTCCAAACATTCTTTGTCCTCTAACCCTTTTAATCTCAATGGTTCTGTCTTCTCGAGAATTACTTCTTCAAACATCAGTGCAATCGAGTCCGTCCGAGTTGTTACCAGAATCTTACTACCAAAACCCCCATAAGCTAGAGGGGCGAGCACATTCCCCCATTTACTTTTATCCCGTTCCTTCTCCTCTTCCCAAACATCATCAAGGACCAGTAAGAACCTTCTGGACTTCACCTCGTTCTTGAGACGCCCTTGAAGTGCCTCAAGTGAATCCAAATCAGGCTTCTTGTTATCAAGAGATTCCAACATATCTGCAATGACTTTTTTCACATCAAAGTTGTTGGAAACGCAAACCCACATTTTAAGATCGAAAAATTCCTTTGTCATTTCATCTTCATAAACGTGTTGCAAGAGAGTTGTTTTTCCCATACCACCATGGCCCACTATAGATAGAAGAGAAATGTTTCTGTACCTACTTGTCCGAGGTTTATTTGATGGATTCCTCAACCACTGCACAACAGACTCCTTATCCTTGCCCCGCCCGATGAGATAATTTGTAGTAGGCAAGGATCCTGTTTCACGTGCTCTGTAGAAATCAACCTCCTGCTCCTTCTGTTCCTGCTTTGCGCTTTCTAAAAGATAAAGGAAAGTAGTAACATCAGCCGAAACTTTATCAAGTTTCTGCATAGCCTTCTCCAGTCGCTTCAAGTTGGGATCTCTTTTGAGAGCACGTTTGACAATTTTGACAAGTCTTTTCTTCATGGATTTCATCATGGAACGCACCTTTCTCAGCTTCTTGTTTTTGATCAACTGTTTTTCAAGTAGGAATTTCAAATAGGAAGCTGATCGATGAGCTTTCTTTTCTGATAGATTATCAAATATAAAAAATAAAAAAAAAAAAAAAAAAAAATCGCGAGCAGAATCAAGTGGCGGAACACACCGTGTTTTTGGAGAGCTGTTGTTCAAGCTGAATGTACTCCAACTCATCGAGCACATCATTTACCTCATCAAGAGCATCTCGCAGCTCCCATATCCATTCGTTGAGACCCCTGTTCTGATCGCTAATTTGTGCTTGGTTAGCGGCAAAGACGACAGCTTTGATCTTCGGGTGGTTCTGTCGCAGCCTTTCAAACTCCTCCTTCATGCCTGTCTGCCATCTGAATTGATCTTTAAGGTAATCAGAGCAAGCGTTGATGATCTTCTCCATGATTGGACCAACAACCCATTCCGCCATGGCAAAGATGATCGAGGTAGAGAAAGCAGAACAAACGGAGATTGATTGGAAGAGATGAAGATTAGAGTGGGTAGTCTCTATTAATTGAGAGAGATAGAGAGAGGATTAAGTTGCCGCGTAGTCCGTAAGCCGACTGAAGTCTCTGTCATAAAATAAGAAAAATGAATGCTTTCTTATATGCTTATGATGAATAA